CAGTGTTAACTGTAAATTATTTTGTAGATATGCTTTATCAAATTAAGGAGTTTCTATTCATTTTTTAAATGAATTTTAGAAATTGAGGCTAGAGATATGGCTCAGCAATTAAGAACACTGGCTGCTCTTCCAGAGGACCCAGGTTAGATTCCCAGCTCACAGAATTATAATTCCAGTTGAACAAGATCCTATAAGGGCCCTCTTCTGGCCCTTATAGGAAGGACCAGGCAAGCATGTGGTGCACAGAAATACAAGCTGCAAAACACCTGCATATGTAAAATAAAAAAATATATTAATTTTTCAAAGATCATGAATGTGAATTGATGCCTGAGTTGTGAGGAAAAATTCTTGCTAATGGCCTGTCCTGGGAGCAAGTGAAATTTCCCATTTTCCACAAAGCCTGTCTGCACTTCTACCACAGGGCTGGAGTTAGGAGATCAAAGTCTCCAGGAGTCTATGAGGCCTTTGTGGCACCACCCAAAAAGCTGAGTTTATGTTATCAAGTGAATGGAAGTTCAGGCTTCCTGCTTAAACTCTACTAGCACAAGGAGGCCAAGGCCACAGTGCCCCTCGCAGACAATATGTGACAGAAGTAAAAGAATTACTACCTAATGTTTTTTTCTGTCTCACTGTCATATGCCTTTCGGGGGCCTTTGGAGAAAGAGAATAGGTTTCTTGGCTGAGGATTTTTGTATCTCTTTTCAGGTTCCAGGCTCTATCATCCTCAATCTGAAATGTGAGAAAACGAAAAGAAGAGAGTATCATCCTTTGGTTTCACTGGTTCCAAGCCTCACTTCTTTTTAGTCTTCATCTCTCAGAACCTTCATGGGTTTTTATATAATGCTCCTTTTACACCCTATGTAAAAGTAGAAACAGGGAAAAGGGCATTGAGTTCATTTTCCTTGACTCTGAATTTTGTGAGTAAGCCAATGCTATTGGCCAACACGCTTACATCAGCTGACCTCTAAAAGACAGGATTTGCATCATTTTGGCAGTATTTCCTTGAGGCTACATGAGAATGTCCTGCCTTTTCTTGTCATGGTGGGAGTAAGATGGAATACAGGCCCTTGGGGGCAACCTTTGACAAATAATTTGAGGATATTTTATGTAAAATAACTCAGGTTTTTCCTCCTAGTGTGGAATAATGTTGGAGTACCATTTTGGAGAGTATCCCCATGAAGCAAAGGTGCAGAAAAAGCTAAGGGGATCGATCTATTATCTCCTCCTCTCCCTGACTCTTTTCCCTGTTGGTATGTGGTTTCTAAATTGTCATCCTTAGCTTCCGAGTGAACTGAAACACTACCTGGTTCACCCTGAAGTGTTCTCTTATTTCAGAATGCAATTTTTCCTTACAAAGGTTTGTTTTTAGAACCAGATCCTTCATTTCTCTGTATAATACAAAATGGAGCATTGACAACAACACAAGCACTGGACACAGCACTTCCAAATGCATTGACCAGCTCTGAACTAATGTTTGCTTAACCCCAGTCAGTCCAATAGCAAACTAATTCAGACAGGACCCAGTTCCAGTCTGCTAAACAGTCTGCCACTTCTGATAAGTAGTAAACATGTACAACCTTTGTCACCAAGGTGATAGAGTATATTCAGATAGTCATACCAATGATTACCTCAGAACTGGGGCAACCATTGATTGCTCTTGGGAGACTGACTTACATTTCTCTTTCATGCCAGATTGAACTTGAGACTACAAAGGATCCATTTTTCTAAGCACAAATAACATTTCCACATGCCTATTATCAAGATATATCTTCTCAACTTTTCTTTGCACATGTTTGCTAAGAAGGTTTTAAGCAATTACTTCTAGGTTTGGCTTGCTAGAAGGTGCTATTGACACCAATGGCTTAATGGAAGACTTCATGAACCTCATCCTTCTACATAGCTGGACTGAGGAGGCCTGTATGTGTTTTTGTGAGATAACTTGCATTTTGCTGAGACCAACAATTATTGTTTGTTTTTTCTAAGATTAGCATTTTGGTGTAGCTCATCCAGATTGCCAATTATTGTTTAATTACAAAAAGTCATCTTTGTCTCTGTCTCTGAATTTTTGACAAGCAAAGATATTAAAAGATATCACACTTGTCACTGGGGCTGTGTTGTGAGGATTCAATAAACACAGCACCTAAGAATTTGCCTGGTGCAGCCTTGTCATTTAACAGACAGAAAGATCAAGGGAACTGTCTAGGGTCATACTACTGATTGATGGAAAAGTCAGAGCAAGCATTCACTTTATCCAGTCATGGGGCAATGGTCCAACCTTGTCACATAGGTAAAATTGTTTTGCAAAGTTGTATGCTTTATGGGCTAATGATGAGTGAGCCCAGACTGAAAAAGTCTCATCTAATACAATACAGTCTCCAGGGTCTTCTCAATTCTGACTCTTGTCTAGTGGTATACTGAGTATGCCCAGTTTTTGTTTGTCTTTATAGAGAGGAGATCCCTGCAGAAATAGAGGTGGGGCAGACTACCATGAAGCAGTAGGACTCCTTCCTCTGAGTCGCCTGTTAGATAATGCTCTTTCATCTGTGGTTAGCACATACACAGACAAACAAAGCCACAATAGGCTAAGATCTTTGCCTATGGGAGCTTTTAGTATCTGGCAAATCTAGAATTATTATTAAACCTTCACTCAAACATTCTGAAACCTGACTTCAAGTGACACATCTCATCAAAACATGCTTTCAAATAACTTGAATGCTCTACTAACTAGTGTGTAAACGGTCTCTGAAAATTTATAGAAGTTTTCAACTTATTTAGTGTTGCCCTTTAACAAATGCATATAAGACATAGGCTAACAATAGTTTCTAGTTCATATGACTGTTGAGATCAGCCAAGGCTCAATGAAAAGTCCAAAGGCTAAATAGGAGCTCAAGAATGTGAGTTTTGCATGTTTTTAGTGACATTAATAGTATCATTCCCTAGACATACCAACTATAATCAGATTAAAGGAATTTCATGCTTTTCCTAACCAGAAACAATATTTTCTCTGGCTTAAAGTCCAGGCAGAACTTCAGCCTCTAGTCAGTAAATTGCTTTAGTAGAGGCTTTATAGTTTCCTGCCAGTTACCCTGTAATGTATCTTACTGGCCATTAAAATTATTCCTCAAGATGACCTCCCAAGACTTCTTCAAAACTACAGTGGCCCTTTATTTTTCAGATCATACTGTAGCTAAATCTCTAGAAATCAGATACTTCATTCGTTCCTTTCAGAGATCTCCACGTTCTGGAAAGATGGGATGTATTGATTAGTGTTGTGGAATATTATTTTAACTATGTGAAGATGTGTTACATTTGTTTGTGCTGCAGAATATTTAACTGTGTGAAGGTGTGTTACATTTGTTTCTGCTACCTTTGTTGAGGATGTAAAGATATGTTATATTTTTTCACCTTGCCTGCCTAAGGTACCTGATTAGTCTAACAAAAAGCTGAACAGCCAATAGACAGGCAGGAGAGGGATAGGTGGAGCTGGCAGGTAGAGAGAATAAATAGGAGGAGAAATCCAGGCTAGAAGAAGGAGGAGAAGAGAATGGGGGAGAGAGAGATGGAGATGCTCTGGGTCATCCAGGCAGGCAGCTGCTAGCCAGCTAGACAGAGTAGGACATACAGAAGAAAAGAAAGGTAAAAAGCCCTAGGGCAAAGTGTAGATAAAGAGAAACAGGTTAGGTTATAAGAGGTAGCAAGAAATAAGCTTACGATAAGGCTGAACGTTCATAACTAATACTAAGTCTCTGTGTCGTGATTTGGGAGCCAGTTGGTGGCCTAAAAGTAAAAAGCCTGGGTACAGAACAGACTCTGAAGTTGTCCATTAAGATGTTTTGTACAAGGCTTCATCTTATCTGGAAGGAAATATTACTAATAATCCCTCCTCAGAGCACAAGTGCCTGTCTTACTTTCATTTCTGTTGTTGTAATAAAACACCCTGACAAAGACAACTCAAAGAACAGAAGATTCACAGTTCAAGCATACAGCCCATCCTGGCAGGGAGATCAAAGTAGCAGGGGTATAAAGCAGTGGGCAACACTGTATGTTTACCCTACCCATCTCCACTATGGGTGAGGTGACTAGGAAAGTCTGGGTGTTGTTATTATTACATTACTCGTTGCCATGGCAAGATACCTGAGAGGGGAACTTGGAGGTGGGAGGGTTTAGTCACAGCTTGGAGATCGAGTTGGGCAAGACATGGTGACAACAGCATAAGGCAGCTGGTCACTTGCATTTTCATCCATGATATGGAGATAAATGGATGCTGGGGGCTCATCTCACTTTATCCTTTTTGTTCGTCATGAAAAGTATGGGATTGTGCCACCCATTCAGAGTGGGTCTTCCCTCTGGAATGAAATCTCTCTAGAATCACCTCATAGACACACCCAGAGATACATTTCCATGGTGATTGCAAATCCAGCCACGTTGATAATGAAGATCATAGCATGTCATTCCCAAATGTTGCTTGACCCTTTTGTAAATGGACATGGCTGTTGTTATGGAACTGGAGATAATTTGGATCTCCATTTTTGTTAAGGGTCTTTAATAAATAAATGGAAGTGATATTCCTAAATTTAAAAAAATATTGTCATTTCAAGATGAACATGGAGACTCATGACTATAATTCTAGCACTTGGGAGGCTGTGGTGGGAGAATTGTAATGAATTAAAGGCTGACCTGAGTTACATAGTGAGTTTCAGACCAGTGTGGGCTACACACCGAAACTGCATCTTAAACAAGACACAAGCAAACATTGCCTTCTTAAGAAAGCATCACTGATTCTAACATATAATTGTTGTAATTGGTGAGGACATCGTAGATGAAGGTTGTGAAATATGTCATTAACCCACTTCTCAAATGAAGTTATAGAGGTCAGGGAGTGAGCCTGTGACACACACAAACCGAGTCCTGTAATATTCAGTTTAAACTGCTTTCCACTCCATTCAGTACTACTGATACTTGAACACAGCAAGTGGATCTCTGTTGCTTCAACTCTTTACCTGTGCCCCAGCTCATGGGCAATGGTGAAAGCCAAGGGTAGTCCAGAATCTTCATTGATGTTACAACTCCTGTGAGGCTGGCACATTCCTGACAGTTGAGACAGCCCCAGAGTCTCACAAGGGCGATTGACACCAGCACAGATGTCCTTTCTGCAAGTAGAGACCAGAGATGCTTAAACAGCCAAAGAAATGTTTGCAGAAACTTCCAGTGAAGACACATCAGCATAAACTACGATGGTTGGTATCTCTAAAGCATGCTTCAAAATAAAGCCCATGTGAGAACAGGGATCAATTTGGAATTCACTGGACCCATTCTGATTTTATCTCTTAATTAATTGAATTTCCCAAACTTTCAAACGTTAGAAAAATTTAAAGCATTTTATTTTGGGTGGTTTTTACTCATCATCTCAGGAAACTGGCATGATTAGGCTAACAAAACATTGCACTGAAAATTAAAGTTAATTTGAGCATTGAATAAGGAAGGGGTAGTTAGCAATTTTCTCTTCAGACATGAAACCCCTTTTGGTTTTTCTTAGATTGTTTTCAAAACTCATCTGAGGTTTGCTTATTTTTGTTTTGTTTTATGAAAAATGCAATTTCTCCCACTATCCCACAAAGAGATTAAATCTATTATCTAGTCATACTACACTAGTAAAACTTGCAAATGTGTGCTGTGTATGTGCCTATAACATGCACACTGTGAAACCTGATCTCTCCTCTTCATCAGAATTAGCTAAAAGGGGAAAAGAAAGATTCCTAAGATCTCAGAAAACAATATAGCTTTTCAAAAACATGCTCCCATTTCCTAAACAGAGTATTTCTATCTCTGACAAGAGTTTTCAGAGAGTCATTAGTCACTAGACTTTCTTCAGGCATAAGAAGAGCTTTTGATTAGTATAAGTGCTAGTGATGCTTCCAGACTTCAGCTGCAAAGCTCAGCTCCTGAGGTTTGTGTGGGCATCATCTGCAGCAACAAATGGTCTCTTGCTTTTTGCATCCTTTGGGAAATGGAAAGGAGCCACACCTGGAGAAACTGAGAGTTTTCAGTTCTCTTAATGGCTGTGGGTAGGGCCAGGGAAGGAGAGAAGCAACCCCCTTTCATAGGCAATGAAGATGTGAATCATATGTTCACTGTCAGCAGCTGTTGGAGGGTTGAGTGTTGTAAAGGCAGATCATATAGTCTCCAGATGGATACATCCCAACCTTCACTGCAGGATGCATAGTTTATTACTTAATCTAAAAGTGTAGCTCCTCAGAGACCTCCTGTGGAAAAGGTGTATTGACACCCGGTGCTAATCTGTTAACTCTCTCAGTTTGATTTGGAAGGAGGCCATATCTGTTACATAATTTTGATGGAGTACCTACTAAGAGCTTAACATCAAAGAGGGAGAGGGAGAGAAAACAAAGGAATTATAGGAATATAATTCTTGGAGACAAGGACCTATCTCCAAGATTACACAAAGCAGATTGGCTTTATCCCTATCACATACTGAAGACAAATACAAGAAACTGCCTTGGAAGGCTGCATATGTACTTGTAGTGTATTCTTAGAAACCTGTCCTTCACAAATGCAATTCTATCAGGCACTGCCAATGTGTGTATCAGAATAGTTTCTCAGTGACAACAATTAGTTTCATACCCATTCCCTTCTCATCTGTTTTTTTTCAGACTAGCATTTTTCAGTGTGGGTTGGGGTAGGGTGAGGCATTGAAAGTAATTTTGATCTTCTTTCTTAAGGGACTTCTGGTAATGTCTGGAAATAGTTCAGGTTCTTACAAGTTGTGTGGGGTTACTATTCTCATAAGTAAAGACTGGAGACTAGCTATTCTGCACAGGAAAATCTTCCAACACACATAATTATCAAGCCCCAAATGACAGGTCCTAAGGTCAAAATTTTAAGAAGGTCCTGGGTATGTGTTGTCCTGTGAAAAACAGGCCACTGAGATCATAGTAGCCCTGCCATTTTGATGGGACCATCCTAATGTAAAGGATAATAATGAATCCCATGTGATACATATGTCTGTCTGAAATTTCAATTATCAGAATTCTGCTTTTGAGTAAAAGTACTAAAACATAGTTATATACAAATCTGTTCCAAGAAAAGCTTTTGGTATAAACCTATAGCAGTGGATTCCTAGGATCTATTGTACCTTAGGTTGACCAGTAGTCCTCTGTAAAATAGGTTTGTACAGATGTAGAACATTAAGCACAAAGGCTCTGGTTCTCCCTAGTGGAAGAAGTTTCTTTTAGTACACATCCTTAGATTTCTGGATGTCTGTAAATTTGCATAAGCTGTGTAGTAAGATCTACCCCCACTTATTGTATGAGCCCTTATTACATAGAACATAGTAGGAAGTCAATAACTATTTACCGAGCCAGTGGAAAATCATAGGTTTCAAAGAGCCTGAATTGACTAGGAAAGCATTTCACAGTCCTGGATTCTAAAAAGTTTTGACTTTTTTTTTTATAGCACCATAGGATCCATCTGTGCTCACAACAAAATGCATCTTTGCAATGATGTGGACTGAATCCAGGGACTCATCAATACTAGGCAAGCGACCTACCACTGAACTATAGGGCCGTGTTAAAATCATGAGGGTGCAAAGGAAGAAGGCACATTTATATCACTCTGTTTACAGAGCACTGTATCCTAAGCATTGGTCTGGAGTGAGTTAGAACAGGTAAGCTCCTGGAGAATTGTGTCTTATAATTTGAAAGGGGAAGATTAAATATAATTAAAAGGATTGGAAAGTCCACCAGCAGAGGGTAATAGAAGTCTTTAACAAAGGATTTGAAAATAGATTTCTTGGTACAAAGAAGACAGTTTTAAAGACAAAATTTTTGCTATGATAAAGAGACTTGTTTGCCAACAGATGTAGTGTATAAGAAAGGACATTTTTGACATATCAACAAGCTTGCTAACATGCCCTCTCAATGGTATGAGCCATCCAGGGGCTCACAGACTATAGCTACTGCTTTCACAAATGATCAAGAATAGAAAAGGGTAGTGAGAACCCCATGAGGGTGAACACATAACAAGACTTTCAGCCATTAGCCATCCTCAGCTGGTTACCCTCCTTTCCACATAGCCTCAGAAGTACCTGGTGATAAGAACAGCCACATCATGATGGACAGGGTTGAGGTCACTCTTGGGATTGATGCTTTTCTGCCATTTGCAGAAGCTGGACAGTGTCTTCTCTGCATGGTGAACTATTTTCAATCCTTGCTGGAAAATGAAGAGAAAGGATGTGCATGAGTGGGTTCTCCATGATCCAGTTTACTGTGTTAGACAATAGTCCTCAGGAGCACTTTAGAGGATGAGCTCAGGATGGTGCTCCAGGCATCTGGAAGATATTTGGCAGAAGCCAATGTATTCCTTTTGGCCTGACTCTCTGCTCTGACCATTATCACCCACCCACCCAAAGACTTCATTTAAAAGATCTAAAGGACAGAAATTGTCATGATATCAAGTAACCCTTAAAAATAAATTGAAAATATAACAAAGACTCATACTACTTGAAGTTTTATCTCTAGCAGGCTGATTATTGTAAGCCAGTACAGTTCCAAAGCTGCATTTTCCCCCATTTTTAATAAGAAATGAATACATTTTCCACAAGACGCTTCCTTTTCTCAAAGGTAGCCGTGAGGCTGGCTGCTGGGTACTTGCACATGTTATTTCATCTGATTTACCTGCATCACTCAGCATTGTCAGCAACACAGAATCATCATGTTCATTTTGTAATTAGAGAAAATTAACTCTCAGTGATAGGAAGAACTAACTGAAGGCCTCTCAGCTCAGATGCATTGAGGTTCCTAGTGAAGCTGTGCTAGCAGTTAGTCATCACCCTCCCTGGGAAGGTAGCCTGGCTCTGCCTCCTTTATACAGAAAGCCTGATCATCAAATAAAACACCAACTGTGACCTGGTAGCTTTCAGGGCTACATTTAACTCTATGCATCATTGGGGGGATATCTCTGAGAGATAATCACCACATTAAAAAATTCTTACTGACATTTTATAATTATTTAAAAATAGTGAAATATTCAGCAATAAAACTAACAGCCATGAACAGAATCTGTATTCTGAAAATGTCAAAGTGCTGATATAATGTAAATAAAAGAACTGATACTTGGCAGGGAGAAACCCTGATTATAGGTATCGCTGACCATGCCCACTTGGGCGTGGTCACAGTTAGGTAACAGGGGTTTAAGAAGGAGGGAGGTGAGCATGTGGCTCTCTCTCACTTGGCTGAGCTGACTGGGAAGCATTTCTGGGTCCATCCTGCTCAGGTGCAAACCTGGTCACTGGTTCCCTTGCATGAGTATTTTCCCCTAATAAACTACTGGTTATTAACCTATCTCTGACTCCACTTTGTAATCATTAATAGATACTATGTTTATGGAATAAAGAGCATTCCACCCTTCAAACTGATTTGTAGCTCTATTGCAATTCAGGTTAAATACTTGGGTGGGACTTTTCTAGATGTATTCAGGCTCATCATAACATGTACATGCAAAAGCACAGCCCTTAGATTGATAAAAACAAGTCTTAGAAATGAAACATAAGGTCTGATTAGTTGTATCCAATCTAAGGTGTACTATAAAGGTATGATGTAGGTGCAGAGATGGACTCATGGTCAATAGGCAAAGAACCGAAAGTAGACCCACACAAACAACCTTAAGTGATTTTTTTTTGGCAAAGATAAAACAATTAATAGTGCTATATAGCAAGAAAAAACTCAATTAAAATGGTAAAGAAGAAACCATGAATAAGCATTTCTCAATAGATGACACACAAATGGCCAATTAGCATATTAAAAATACTTAAGGTTGCATATGTTGATGCACATTTATAATCCCAGAGTTGAGTGACTGAGGCAGAAGTAAGGTCTTGAATTGAGGTCAGTCTGTGCTACATAGGTGAATTTCAAACCAACCTGGACTACATAGTTAGATAGGGAAAAAAAGAATTTAGAAAGGAGAAAGTGGGTGCCAATTAAAACTATAAAGCCCTATCACCATGTACCTGTTAAAACAGTTATTAACAAGAAGACAAATGATAACAAGAATTGGTAAGAATGTAAAGTAAACCCTTGAAAAAAACTCAGTTTTTTAGAAATGTAAAATAGTAAGTCTTGATTTAAAACATCATGAAAGTTTCTTAAATAAAACAGAATCACCATTTGATCTAGCAATCCTTCTAGAGAGCATATATACAAAGTTATGAATACTGTACATTGAAGAGATACACATCCCCATGCCACTGCTATATTTTTGTAACAGCCAAGATATGGAATCTACTGAATATGTATGATACAATAATTCTGATTGATTATTTTCAGTTTTCTGATAATAATTAAATAGCTTTCAGGCTAACAAATGAAGGAAATTCTGTATTTGTGAGAGCATGCATGAACCTGGAAGGCATCATGTTAAGTGGCATAAGCCAGGACCCAAAAGACAAATAGCACATGACTTCACTTACATGAGGACTCCGAAAACATAGAACTCAGTCAACAAGAGCTACGGGTAGGGGTGTGTGTATAGGTTGGTGAAAGGATTGAAATTTCAGTTTAGGTAGGAGGAATAAGTTCTAGAGCTCTACTATATGACATAGTGAGCATAGTCAATAACAATATATTATATATGTGAGAATCACAAGAAGAATAGATTTTAAGTCTCCTCACTATGTGTAAAATATGAGGCGAAGCATATTTTAATGCACCTGCTCTATCCATTCCACATACTTACATATTTTAAACTCTTATGGTGTGCATAATGCAGATATACAATGTTTGTCAGCTTAATAAGTAAAATTATGAGAAAGAAGAAGAAGAAGAAGAAGAAGAAGAAGAAGAAGAAGAAGAAGAAGAAGAAGAAGAAGAAGAAGAAGAAAGTTATTGTCAAAAGCCAAGAGGAAATTACACCAATTCCGAGAGGCATATTTTAGGTGCTAGTTCCAGAGTTTCCAGTTTTCTCTGAGTTCCACTGAAATACTGAATTTTAAAAAATCACCCTTGGGATGGAGAGATGGTTCAGTAGCTAAAAGCCCACACTGTAACTCTATCCTTGGGGCAATCTAATGCCCTCTCTGGTCTCTGCTGGCACCTACACTTCTGTGCACACACTCATAATTAAAAATAAAATAAAACAATCCACACATTATAGCATACTAGGGATCATAGATTACATCTCCATACTTCATCCAATTTGCTTTTGTAAATTATCATGTGAAGTAGTTATGAGTGCAATGACTCATCTACAATTGAGAAGCATGCCCACTGTGGCAACTGGGATTGGTAGTTTTCAAATGGCAAAGCCACAAGTAGATCTGAAGATTTCCTCAGCTGTCAATGTTCACACTAGAAATAATATACAAATAACATCACTGTGAACATTTCTGTGTAGTTTAACTGATTGCATTAATGGTTGTAGCTATAGTATTGTTTTGTATGCTTTGGCCACTCATGGAACTTCCATCATTTTATAATCCTAATAAGACCTCTATTTTCTTTGTAACTCCTTACTCTGCCTTAGTGGGAAGATGAATAATCAAACCCTGCTGCTGAGTGAACAGATTGAAAACTTACCAGGATCTCTTCAGATGCCCCAGAATGCTTAGCATGGCTGTGAACATCTGTGCTTCCCACGAGCCATAGCCACATTAAACCATGGCACTATCTTCTAAAGACAGACAACTAAATGTCTCACTAGCTCAAGGCCATATTCTCCTGGCAGCTGTCATTTAAACTGGAGTGGCAGTTGATAATTGTAAAAAAAAGTCAAACTCTATCAGTTAAGGCAAACATCTTTATGTTTGCAGAAGGCTTTCAAAAAAGTTCTCTATATAACTCTGCACTGTTGCTCTGATCCAAAATGTCTTTCCATTCTAGCATTTGTTCTATTGAATTCAGGATGTTAGAAAAAGAGGCCAGAATGACAAACTCTCATTCAAGGTACCATGAGATAAACAAAACATGTGTTTTGTTTACAAAATTTAGTGAGCTGTGTCATGATGTTTGAAAGAGGCTCTGGCATCTGTTTCAATTTAGGGCTTTTTGTCTTGGTGCCCATGATTTCTTTCACAGTGACAGGAGCCCTGGAGAATTCTAACAAAGTAACTATAAGGTTTGCTCCCATTCCTTTCACCATAGATCAATCTCTAGTCATCAGACTTATATTGCCATTGATTACACAAGGGATTTCAAGGATAAATAGTTCAATGCAGCAATAATCCAAGTTCTCCAGTTTTTGTTTTAAGAGACTAAAACTCAGATAACTCAAAATAAAATATAGTCAGGCTAAACCAATAATGAAATGAAGATTTCAATAGGCATAAAGAAAACCAATAAACAGATTTTAGTATTAGTTTTATTAGAGAAAAGCAATTATCTGAAGGTAATTGCTATAATTAGTTGGTATTATAAGCTTTGAACACATAAAAATGAAAAGTCTGTGTTCAGATAATGACAATGACAATGATTTACAGCCCTTACTATTATCATGGTCACTTCTGAAATTCTCCACCAAAAATAATAAACCTTCCTCTTCCAGACTCTCTTTATTGTTCAGTTTTTGTTTATTTGACATGAGTTCACATTTTGTAGCCTAGGATGGTCTAATCTATTATCCTCTTGCCTTAGCCTCTAGAGTGCTAGGATTACAGGTGTGTATCACTTGGTGCTATTCATCCACAATGTTTTCTTTAATAGCTGGAGTGACTACATTATCTAGTTTCAAAAAATCTTCTAACAGTATTTGGCATTGCCCATGGACAGCTCCCACCCAGTCAAATTCAGCCAGAGACACTTCTCAGTCAGTTATGTGCCACTAGGTCAAGTCCAGGCATCACAATGATTGTGCAATTATATTATATGTGCTGTGATAAACACCTCAATCTGAGGAAACATTCCGTTTCATTTGTGTAGCACTCTGATTTGTCCTGTATCATCATAGATCTTTTGAGCTTTTACTCAAAATAATATTACATTCATTTAATAAACAATTGAAGGTCAGAAGGTAAAACAGAAGAATAAATGATTGAATATGGGGAGGGACAACTAAGACTAAAGGCCTTTTGAAGAAGATAAGTGGGTGGAAACCTATTTAGTGTGGAAACATCCATATATATTTATATATAAAGAAGAAACCATAATAGGAAAAATATATATTAGGGAAAGAAGAAACTATTTATATATGGCTATATTTGTATATGTAGTTTTAGTGGG